GTGGCCCCAGATAAAATCCGCATGGGAACAAGCCACCTATGGAGAGGCAGCCAGAGGAGCGCTCCCTTTATTTGTCTGGGATATTTCTATGCACAGTGCTCACATCACCTCCCTGATTGCACTATCTCTTTTTCAAGGGGCATCTATGTCGCAACCTGTGCAGGTGGTTTGCTCAAGTCATGGAAATTTCAGATTGAAGCTGCAGCCTGCTTTCAGCATTAACCTTAACCATCAATGCCAGAGGACAGAAGCTGGTGGTTTGGTCCTCCGCCAAGGAGGAAGAGGAGATAGAGCAGGCGAAGAGGAATCCCTGGGGTGGGGGGGTGCTTCAGCCTGGCCCCCAGCTGCCTGAAGTGGACCCCGGAGGAGCTGGCCCCCAGCTGGGGAGGGCATTGCAGGCACAGTCTTGCACCTCCTGTCCCTCTTGTGTCTCCACCACCCCGGAGGGCAGGTGAAGGGACATTGCTTCCTGCACATCTGCCTGCTGTCTCCTGCCCTCGTTTAGGATTTCAGAAAGACCTTTTGCTGCAGCATGAAGCAGAGGGGTTTCAGATAAAGTCTGGTAAAGTCTGACTTTTTTTTATGGCAGCTTTTTCTCCCTGCAGGTGATTTATTCCCTTGCTGCATCATTTTTTTTCCAAGCTTTTCCTCTGGGCACAGGCTGAGCCCGCAGCACCTCCTGCACCGGCAGCAGAGCCTGTGCAGGTTTTCCTGCTGGGAAGTGTGGGTTTTGGGAGGGCAGGGCAGGTGGGCCCCATCCTCCCCAGCTGCCGTGTCTCCTCTCAGGGCACCACGCAGCTGCAGCGGGGGAGCAGTCACAGGTCAAATCCCACTGCTGCAAGGCAAACCCCAGTCCAGGTTTTTAACATCCAGCGTTGAAAGCAATCATTTGGGTTCCTGTCTTGTGTTTGTGGTACCAAAGAAAACTACAAGAGAAGAAAAATCCATACTTGAAGGAAATTACTGAAAAATTGTTCTGATCCTTTGATCCTGTATAGACAGGTATTTTCGAAACCCTGCTCTGCTCTGTTGCCAATCCCTTCTTCTTCAGAGCTACAGAAGATCCAGAGATTGACATGATTCATCTCTTAAATAGGAGAGAATTAACATCTTATCGGAATTCTGACTGTACTAAAGTCTGTTTAATATATATACGCAACTCATTGCACTTTTTTCTTTTTTTTTTAATTTCTTGGATTGATTCCTTCTTACTGCTACAGTCACTATACGTTTTTTCCAAGGCAACCCTGGAAAAGGAGCAATTTCCCAGGTTCATCCCCCCTGTGGCACTCCTCGGGGGCCAGGATTTTTGGAGGCGCAGAGCTCAGGGCTCCAAGCAGGAGCCTTTCCTGACATGAGGGCCAGGCCAGGCGCAGGGCCAGCTGGGCGGATTTGACATCAGACAGGATTTCCCCTTGCCCTGACCAGCCATCCTCCAGCCGGCGCAGAGAGGCTCCAGCAGAACCCAGGATCCCACCCAGAAATGGGACCCCCCTTTCTGCAGCAGGGGTGGTAAGCAGCACGCCCTGACTTCAGTGTCGTGCCAACATCCCGCTCGATGCCTGCATCCGTGCCACTCGCCTGGGCTGAGGAACGCGCCAGTGCTTTGTGATCCCCGCCAGGACCAGCACCACATCGGTGGGGGAGGGCCACAACCTGTGGCCCCACGCCGTGGGTGACTCACCCCTTTTGGTGAGCCTTGTGAGCCCTGTGTGTTCCTCCTGTCTAGCTCAGAAATCAGTTTAAAATGGAGAACTTCTGGGGTGATATACAGCCCTCTCCAGGGGACTTTTTGACTGCAGGGCAGTGCAACTTCTTTGTGGGGTGGCGCGGCACGGGAGGGGCAGAGGGAGCTCGGTCCTCAGCAGCGTTCAGCATCTCACCAGCGCTCAGTGACAAGCACTGTCACACTAAAGCCAATTATTACCGCTGCTGTTCACACACTCGTGAATTTCCCATCACCAGAGCGGGAAGAGTTTCGGCCAAGTACATAGAAAGTAATTGTTATGAAGAGAAAAATGCTCTCAAGGGCACTCTTCTAGAGACCCCTCTGGTCTGCCAGGCCCCCTGAACGTGGTGATGGAGAAAGGATCCACCCAGCACCTGGGAACAGCAAACACCACCATTAAAAGCAGAGACCATGCAGAAAAGGAGCGCTCCCCCTGCTAAATGCAGGAGGTGGATCAGCCTGCAACTGCCCCGGGTCCCGCAGCCACCGCAGAGCTGCAGCCTGTCTGAGCCCACGGCAGGCACCTGCAGCAAAGCCAAGCCCCCTGCCAGCACCAAAACCCCCTCTCCACTAACTACTGCCACAAACCCTTAACCCTCCCCATTCACTCCTTTACACGCACAAGGAGCTAAATTAATCAGATAGGCACACGTATGAATAATTCAGACACCTCTAATCATTAGTCATTTTTACTAAGCTCAGTGATTGCTTGTGCACATGGATGAGAAGAGGAACATCAGTCACCCGATACCAATTTCGTAATGAATTCTTCATTACCCAAAATTGAGGGAGGCCTTGGAATTCATTATCTGCATCATAAAACTTCCCATTTTCTCAAAAAGTATCCCCCTCCCCCAAAAAAATTCTCCGTTTTTATACCCCTTTATGTCACACATAAATTCCACAACACATAGTAAAATACTTGCACTGAAGAAAGAGGCAGGATTAGCTTCAGCTGATATCCCCTCCTGATTTAAATGACTTTTCTTCCAAAACAACACATTAATCTTAAATTCGAGGTTTCTGATATGGGTGGTTTGAGGAAGCATCTGTGCCACCAGGGCTTGTAGCCTGCCAGAAACGAGGCACAGGATGCAAGCGTGAGTCCAAGCTCCTGCCAGCCAGGAAAGCCATAGCAGGGAGGGTGGGGACACCCCGAGCCTTAGCCTTTGAGCCTTAGCATGGAAAATAGCAAATAAACAAGGAGCAAACATCCCAAACAACAAATTCCTCAGAAATTTTTGCTACCAGCTGCAGGGGGAGCAGGATTTCCAGCAAACACAGAGCTGGCTGGGAGAGGGGCAGAGCTGCTAGTGGTATATGGAGCGAGCTTTTTAGCTTGGCATTCAGATGTTATTTTCTTTTAAATTTTACAAATAAAGGAGGAAGAAAAAAAACCCCAGCCAAATCAGATCAGCACAGAAGCATCCTAGCAGCAGACACATACAGCAGCAGGGCACCAGCGCTGACGCCTCTCCGTGCCTGCCAGCCGCAACAGCCCACCCAAGAGGCTGAGGCAAAGATGAAAAAGGGAATCAGCTCTGCACTGGTTTTTGAGCTTTGCTCCTGCCACAGTGACTGCTGCCCTGTCCCCCCTCCAGCTGCAGGGAAGAGCACAGTACGGCTCAGGTAAAACTCCAGCTACCAGTGTGGCCATGGACCTTGTGAACTACTTCAGAACTGAAGCCACTGATTTTGCGCGTGTCCTTGGCACTGGAGAAGCCCAGCTGTCTCTATCTTCCCAGGTGTCGAGCTTGATGCCCTCCAGATGGCATCTTGATTGCTTGAAGCTTCACCGATCGAGTTATGGGGGCTGGATCAGCTCTGTGGTTCAGCCCACCCAGCCTCTCCCCGTTGTGCTGGGGCAGGTTGGCTGAGCCCATCATGCCTTTCTCTACTAGGTGGTGAAGAAAGAGTGCCAGTTCAGCCTGCTGAAAACAAAGTTGTCAAGCTAGTAACTCAGCCATTTAAGAAAGGACAAAAAAGGCGGGTTGAGCTGGCCAGCTAGAGCCAGTGGCAGTAAGGACCAGACAGCCTGCAGCTGCCACACAGGTGCCCATCTTAGAGATGGTTAGAAACATTGTCCCCCCTCAGAAAACTAATTGCTACCTGTAATCTAAATACCAGAGGAAAAGAGTTTGTTTTCAGGTTGAAGTATTGCTTTTCAGCTTTACTATTTCTAACAAGGGAAGCACGCTTCAGCATTGTAATCCTTTTTGCAGCAATATGGGCACAGATCTTGTGCCTCTATTTCAGTTGTTTTACAAGTTTTTGTGACTTTCACAAGCGATGCACCAAATCTTATTTGACTCAAACTTTCCGTTGCATTGATTTCCCCTTTGGTGAGACGCTGCAGTCTCATCTGCCCTTTTCTTGGTCTACCTCCTATTTCACGCTGAACTAACTCCTCTGAACCTTGCCGAGACGTTTCACTCTTCTCAAGCATAAAGACCAATTTCCCTCACTTTCAATTTTAAAAAATCTGTTCTGCCCCAGAAAAGCACCAGTGCACAGTCACAGAATCACAGAATAGAATCATAGAATCTTTAAGGTTGGAAAAGACCTTTAAGATCATCAACTCCAACTGTTAACCTAACCCTAAGCACCTCATCTATCCTTCTTTAAGTACCTCCAGGGATTAGGACTCATCCACTTCCCTGGGCAGCCTGTTCCAATGTTAGACAAGCTTGTCGGTGAAGATTTTCCTAATGTCCAACCTAAACCTGCCCTGGCGCAACTTGATTCCATTTCCCCTCGTCCTATCGTCTGTTACCAGGGAGAAGAGGCTGACCCCCACCTGGCTACAGCCTCCTGTCAGGCAGTTGTAGAGGGCGATCAGGTCTCCCCTCAGCCTCCTCTTCTCCAGGCTGAACAACCCCAGTTCCCTCAGCCGCTCCTCACAGGACTTGTGCTCCAGACCCCTCACCAGCTTGGTTGCTCTCCTCTGGACACGCTCCAGTGCCTCAATGTCCTCCTTGTAGTGTGGGGCCCAGTCATTTGACTATATTTAAAGCAGGGAAGTTCCTCTTTCACTCCAAAACTACTGTTGTGCTCACGCTGAACCCGGGAGGTTCAGCAAGCATTTCTTTTCCTTATGACCTCACTTCTAGCTGACTCTCCCAGTTTGCCTGACCTTTGCTGGACTGTCTCACTTTCATTAAGGGAAGATAGCACAAGATCATCTGTTTTAACAACTCGCCTCACTCTGTAATGGCCTGTGATTTATACTTTTTGATTTTGACAATGCTCGCCTGCATTAGCTGCGAAGCACCCAGCGCTGCGGAGACAACGTGCATGGAGGTGAGTGACAGCCGCCGGTCCCTCTCGAGATACAGGAGCCCCGCATGCAGAGGATGGGTCTCTGGTGAACGCTTATCTGCTGAGATCTGACTGTTTTAGTTCCTGAGGGGTTTCTCTCGGGGGGATCTGAAGGGCTTTATCGGAGAAATGGGATGTGCTCAGGGACACCAGTCACTGACCCTCCTCCTCCTCCTCACACCTGCGCGTCCCTGCAACCTCGTGCTCCCTTCTGCCACTGCCAGGGACTGTGGGAGCCCACCAAACCAGCACCGTGCTTCACCTCCTAGAGAGCTGGAAGGGCAGTGAAGTTTCACAGGGGTCTTCAGCAGATATCAGAGCTAGACAGAGGACAGATATAAGGATTTTTGTCTTGTGCTTGTGCTCTCCATGCAGGAATTTGTACACAGTAGGAGGATGATGGTGTCTCTGTCATTTGGTGAACGTGTGATAACACATGAGACTAGGAAGAAAGTACCAGGGTTTTTTTCAGGGGAAGGGGAAAAGCTTGACTCATAGGATTTTTATTTTATTTTTTTAAGTGGGAGACATTGAAAAAAAAGTAAGGATTTTGATTCAGAGAAGTAGCACCATGAAAACCCAGCCCTACACAGCATACATTTAGGGCCAAAAGCAAGTTCCTCACAGAATTAAATGTACAAATCCCCAAGCAGTCAGAGTTGCACACCGGGATCACCCAGGGGATGCTTGCTCCTCCGCTCCCCATGAGAGCTGCTCTGTGCCTTGAAGTGTACAGGGAGAGCTTACTCGCTGGTAAAACACAGATGCAGTGAGAACTAAACATTTTTTTATCTGTCTAAACCACACAACACGGCAATCAGCTCCATGGGTTCTTCTTTGCTCATCAGTATTGAAAGCACCAGCTTCCCTAGGTCTACATTTTGCCAGTTCTGTAGTTACCAGTGCTGTATTCTTTCAGTGCTTCTGGGCTGGAGCCACGTCCCCGTGCTAGGGCAGGTACATGCCCAGCCATGGGCAGCACCGATTCATCCTTCCCCACGGTGCTGGACCCCGCTGCCGCCTCCCCAGCGCTGAGCTCCAGCCAGGCCCCAGCACGCCAAGTGGGATGGGGATGGCAGAGGAGCCACGCTCCCCACCCGCCTGGGGTGTTTTGGTGTGAGTCCCCTTCCGCTCCCCCTGGCTCCGCCATGCTGCTGCCTGGATCTCGTGCCGGGCTGCCTGGCCTGCAGTGGCAGAGGGCGGCGGCGCTCCCTCGGCACCCTCCGGTTACAGGACTTGTGCCTACAGGAAAGGAAGAAAGCGTTCGCTGTGGCCAGCTTGTGGCTTGCATCAAATGCTGCTCTTTCCCCTCCAGTGAGGTTACCAAGTGCCTCCACTGCCCGCCTGCCTCTCCAAAGCCACAGGCAGGCAGAGATGTCGTTTGGTCTCACTCACAGTCCCACATGAACAGAAAGACCCAAACCTTGTGCACCATCCCCCAGGCTCCACGCATGTGCACCTCAACAAAACCCTGGCGAGCCACATGCTCCTGTCCCACAGGGTGCTGTACTCTGCCCACCACGGACTCCAGGCTCCTGTGCATTTCCCACTGGACATCCCACTGCCCGTGCTTCCTTTCTTTGGGCTAACAGAATAGCTTTGAATCTCATTAAAATGGCCAGACTGGCCAACCATGCAATGCCTGCTTTTATCTTCCCGCAAGCAGAACATCTCCCAGCTTCCTGGCAGGGTATGGCCAAAGCTGCAGCTCCCACCTGACCCTGGGGACCCCGTCCCTCCCGGGCTGACCCAGGGCTTTCTCTGGGAGTAGGGCTGGGCGAGGTGGAGGGTGGCTCCGTGCCGGCTGCATCCCTGCTCCCCATCGCACCATGGCAGTTGGGACAAGTGGGATGCTCAGAGCACCTCCCCTGCCTCGAGTGGCAGCCGCAGGCTGTGCCAGGGCGGCATTTCCAGGCGTGCCATAGTCCCAGGCTCTGGCTGGATTCCGTGCAACCACCAGGCAAAGGCAGGTCGAGCACATTTAATGAATTTCCCTGGTATCCACAGAGTAGACTTCTCTACATAGTAGATCAATTTATTTTCAGTTAAACTGAAAAGCCTTCATAGAAATTTGAAAGACTTGGCGTATCAGATATGATCTTTGTCTAGCCTGAGCTAAACCTTCCTGCCACCCTCTTGCTGCAGCGTGTAATTGCAGTTCAGATCCAATTAATTTGGACATGTTCCTTCTAGAAACATTCCTAGACCTGCTCTTTTTTACCTCCTGTCTGCAAGGGTTCCTTAAGGCTTCTCTTAGAATAAGCTTTGCTACAAGACTTAGGAAATTCAGAATTTAAAACTACCTTCTGAGAATACTTTTTTAGGGATTAATAATTCATCCAGAAGAGTAAACAACCCTCATATGTGCTAACTTTGATAAGAAAGTACTACAGATGAGACACACTTCAAATTAGTACAAGAGAGATTCAAGACATTCATTTTAAAAACACACTCCACAAAACCCCAGGGTTGTGCATTGGAAGCCTGCACTAAGGCTTCCTAGGGTTCTGGCTGCTATGTTTTTAAATAATTCAAAATTCTGTTTGTTTGGGGTTTTTTTGAAGTGCCATAGTTTCCTATTTATATTCACAGTACATACCTCTTGGAGTTTCATGATCTATTTTCCACAGATTACAGTAAATAAAAGCTATAACTGTGAAGGTTTAGGACTGAGGGAGATTCCTGAAAAACTGCCTGTCACAACTGAAATCCTTGACTTCAGCTTCAACATTCTCCCTTCCCTCCTGAATTCAACCTTCTCTGAGCTGAAGTCCCTCCTCTACTTGGACCTAACAAGGTACGGAACAGCGTCCTCACTTCTGCACCCCGGGTTGGTCAAATCCCCTGCCTGAAGCCGGCTTCTGGAGCGCACCAGAGCAGTGTCTCCCTGCCTTCACAGGGAAACCACCAACAGGACTTGCAGACAGCTGTAAAGTATTTTGCTAAGGAGGGATTGATATGCTTGGGCAATATCTCAGCTTCTCCTCTGGTGACGATCATTTGCAGGACAGTGGGTAAAATACCTGCTTTCCACATACTAATGCTGCTAGGACGGTAGTGACAGCAAAGTCACTAAAGCAACTTTTAAATTTGTTTTTCTGTAAAGATTTTGTTCCCTAAAGATTTTGTTCCCTAGAGAAAGACAGGTCTGGTCCTGTCCATAGAGATGCCCAGCTTTTTCTATAGGAAAAGAGGTTTTCATTTTATTAAGCTGGACACTAAAAATCTCATGTCTTCCTGACTTCTGTAAATGCCTCCACACCCCCAACATTTCAGGGCAGGTTTTTCTTCTCACCAGGACCTTGTATTTCAATGTGAACTTACAAATGCCAGGCAAGCATCACTGGAAAAGACAGACACTTTTGTGCTGGTGAAGGCAACTGATGATGAGTTCTTACAGATCCAAAGTGCAGTTTGGGTTATCATGTATAGCGGGAGAGTTTTGCAAGACAGGCCACTGATGCTGGTTTCTGTTGCTTTCTCAAGGTGTCAGATCAACTGGGTGTACGAAGGTGCCTTTCACAGCAACAAGCAGCTGAAGACGATCGTGCTGACTGGAAACCTGCTCATGTTCCTGTCTGACACAGCGTTTGCTGGCCCACAGTCTCTGAAGCAGCTTGTCTTAACGCAGACAGGAATAACCAGTATGTCCTTTATTCCAATGACAGATCTGGGCAGCTTGGATACCCTCATCCTGGGCAGCAACCACATCTCTTCGCTGCAGCTTCCTCCCAACTTTCCCACTCAAAATCTCAAATACCTTGACTTTCAAATGAACAACATAAGAGCAATCACAGCAGAAGATGTCCATGTTCTGCAGAAGACCAGCAATATAACTCTCATCTTCAAAGGCAACGACATTACGTACATTGAACCAGGTGCTTTCCAGTCCCATTTCTACACTTTGGACTTTGGGGCCTGCACTGACATCCCTGCGATCCTGGCAGGGATACAGAACTCCACAGCCCAGACCCTTTGGCTGGGAACGTTTCACGGTGTGGAAAAGGAGCCCCACATAAGCCCAGATGTTTTACAAGGCCTCTGTAATATCTCTGTCAAGGATCTCTATCTGCAGTTACGGCACTTCAGAAACCTAAATGCCAACACGTTTCAGTGCTTGACCAGGCTCCGAAAGCTGGACCTAACTCAAACCCACATCAGTGCATTGCCCCCCGGCATCAGTGGCATGAGCTTGCTAGCAGAGTTAGTTCTCAATGCGAACTCCTTTGAGCACCTCTGCAACATCAGCTCTGCCGCCTTCCCCTCCCTTACCCACCTCCACATAAAGGGGAACTTGCAGGCCCTGGAGCTGGGCTCTGGCTGTTTGGAGAAGCTGGCAAAGCTTCAACATCTCGATTTAAGCAAGAGTCATATTGAAAGCTTTGACTGCTGTACCGAAGCACTGAGTGGTCTGAGCAGTCTTCGGTACCTGAATCTGAGCCACAACATAAAGCTCCACCTCCAAGATGTGCTCCTTAAGGATGGTGCTAACCTGGAGCTGCTGGACCTAGCTTTCACTGCTCTGGATATCAACACTTCACAGGGTCCTTTCCGAAATTTGCATCTCTTGCAAGTGCTGAATCTTTCCTCCTCCCACATTAATATGAGCATTAAGCAGCTCTTTCAAGGCTTGGAAAACCTCATGCTCTTGGATGTTAGTCAAAATAACTTTGAGTCGGGGATCATGACAAAGGACAACCTGTTCCAACAGCTATCCAACTTAGAGATGCTAATCTTGTCATCCTGTGAACTGACAGCAATAGGCAGCCAAGCATTTCACAGCCTCAAGAAGTTACGGCATGTTGATCTGAGCCACAACAAACTTACTGCGCTCAGCACAGATGCATTTGCAAACCTCAAGGGCATCTATCTCAATTTTGCCTACAACAGGATCCGTACTGTACCACATGACAAACTAGCGTCCCTAGCTGGCCACTGTGTAATCAATTTAAGTTACAACCCTCTGGACTGCACCTGCTCCAATATTGGTTTCATCACCTGGTACAAGCAGAATCTGGATAAAATTGAAGACCCTGAAGGAACGAGATGCTCTGAACCCAAATTGCTAGCTGGGGATCATTGCAGTTGTCCTGGCTGTTTTATCCTGTGGTGCCATCGTCATTTGGGGTGCTCGCTATTTCAAGCAAAATTACCAGCAAATATAAGTTTATGATAGATACAGAAAAGATATACAGCAATTGTATTAAGATGAAAGACAACTTACTGTTTTTGTTTGTGACCTGTATTTTCTTAACTTCTGTAACACCCTTTCCATTTATATTATAACTTTTAGAAAAACAATGACAAGAATTTATTTGAGAACTGGAAAAATAAACTATAACCTGAGCCTTGAGCATGAATAACTTCTGTTATAGAGATAGCCCAGTTCAACTCGATGCTAACACTGGTGTCCCAGCTACCATGGCTAATGCACCTGTAAAGAGAAGATCCAAGCGCCAAAATGCAAACCTCGTTCTCTTTAAAAAACAGAAAACCAAACCATCACCACTCCCAACAAAAAAAAACCCAGACCAACCATAGAATCATAGAATCATAGAATGTTTTGGGCTGGAAGGGACCCCTAGAGGTCATCTAGTCCAACCCCCCTGCAGGAGCAGGGACACTGCTAACCAGATCAGGTTGCTCAGAGCCCCGTCCAACCTGGCCTGGAATGTTTCCAGGGATGGGGCCTCCACTACATCCCTGGGCAACCCGTTCCAGTGTTTTACTACCCTCATTCTAAAGAATTTCTTCCTTATGTACAGTCTGAACCTACCCTGTTTTAGTTTAAAGCCATTACCCCTGTCCTGTCACAGCTGGCCCTAAACCAAACCCTCACCCTCTAGCAAATGCCCTTGAAAATAGAAAGTTGTTTAAGAACTGGCAGTAGCATTATCCTGCTCCACTAAAAAGAAGAAAAACTTTCTGTGAAGAACAGGCACGACATTCATAGTCACCTAAGACACACTCCTGCAGGACTGACAGAAACAGCCTGTATCACCTCTGTGATTTCTTTAAAATATTTTTGATCCTTAGAGAGTTCCTGGCTATTGAATTTCTGTCTGTCCATCTCTTGCCCCAGTGCAGGTCCAGCTCCTGTACTATTTATGAGACTCCGTAGTAAGCAGGGACTAGCATCAATTTTGGCTTTAACCATAAAGTTTGTCCATTTGGTCAAGTATCTCTGGGTGCTTGGCACTACACTTGCTTGCACAGGGCAAAACCCCAACGCCAACAGCTACGAGCCTTTCCTGTGCCAGCCAGGAGTGGACTGCTTCCTCCAGCAGCAGCCCAGGAGAGAAAACCAGAGACTGCAAAGGGAGTGGTGCAGTGGTGAGCAGCGACCTTATCCCACGAGTGCGCCCGGTGCCAGCAGCTTCTGCACATTCTTCTGATGTGTGTCCCCGGAGTGAGGTCAGAATCTCTTTGCTCCAATGGGATATACAACAGATACGCAGGGAAACAAGATAGGCTTGTTATTATTTTCTTTTACTAAAAAATGAAATCCCTTTTTCTGCCATCACATGTGAATAAACCCCAGTGGCAAGACAGAGTATGTGCGTTTACCAAGGGTCTGGTGGGAGCTTGTCATGCCTGCTCATCTGCCCTGTGTTACCATAACATGATCTATGGCACTAGCACTCTAATAACAGGCTAACCCTGATGTATAGACACAACCTTCTCAGAGGGTATGACCCTTCTGTCCCCATGGCAGAGCATGCACCACATGGAGTCTTGCCCTGCCCTAGCAAGGCTCCCTGGCATGTTAAGCCAGGAGCTGTGATTGTTCACCAAGACATGGAAGGTGAGCTCTCTCTTAACACTTTCCATGGAGGACTTCACATTCAACTTACTTCAGCTCCTGCATTTCTTTGACATTTCCCTCCTTAATATGCTGACTAGCTAAGATTTCACAGATCCACACGGACTTGAAAATTTTTGCTCATTTTTGAAGACACCGCTGACAAGAATCCCTGCTTGGTCTTCTCAAGTAAGAAACACCTCTCTTACTTGAAAAGCCCCTTTTACCCTCTGCTAGCAGATCAGACTAACACAATGTGGATTCTTGTAGCTTTCAGATGCCTTCACATTGTGTACACCGCCTGCCTCACTCCACAGCTTCTCTTCCTCCTGTCTTCGTAGCCATGCGTTGCCCAAGGGCTTGCAGGGAGAGACGTGTGATCATAGAATACCAGGTTGGAAGGGACCTCAAGAGCACAGTCCAGACAAGATGGCCCAGCACCCTGTCCAGCTGCATCTTCAAAGTGTCCAGTGTAGTGGAGTCAACCACTTCCCCGGGGAGATTATTCCAATGGTTGACTGTTCTCATTGTGAAAAATTTTCCTCTCATGTCTAATCAGAATCTTCTCAGGATTAATTTGTATCCATTACCCCTCATTTTTTCCGTGTGACTCCTTGTGAAAAGTGGGTCTCCATCTTCTTTGTAGCCACCCGTCAAATACTGGTAGACAGTGATGAGATCCCCCCTGAGCCTCCTTTTCTCAAGGCTGAACAAACTAACTTGTCTCAGCCTGTTCTCTTACAGCAGGCTTCCCAGTCCTTCAGTCATCGTGGTGGCTTTTCTCTGGACCCTCTCCAGCCTGTCCACATCTGTTTTGTACAGCAGAGACCAGAACTGAACACATTGCAGGTGTGGCCTGACAAGCGCTGATTAGAGAGGGATAGTGACTTCCTTATCTCTGCTGGTGATGCCCTCGTTGATGCAACCCAGCATCCCGTTGGCCGCCTTGGCCACAGCAGCACACTGCTCACTCATATCGAGCTTATTGTCCACCAGGGGCCCCAGATCCCTTTCCACAGAGCTGCTCTCCAGCCAGGTGGATCCCAGTCTGTGATGTTTCTTCTCCAGTTGCCTACAAACACTTCCAGATTTTGGGTACCAGGACTTTGCCTCTCCTTGCCACTCTCTGTATTGCTGATCTGTATTCCCTGTTTCTGTGGCTGCTGACATGCTCTGCACAGAAACCTCCTCCTGACCCAGTCAGCAGGTGCTGTGCTCCAGCGGCCCAGCTGCCCAACACCAAAGCTGCACAGGCTGCCTGCCTCAGGAGAGCCCTTCCGCAAGGACTGGTCCAAGGGAGAGCCGTGTCACTGAGCGAGGAGTCCCCGACTCGTCCTTGGGAGCAAGGCAGGGATGCTCCTAAAGTCAGCCCAAGCTTCAAAGCGCATTTTCCCCTCCCTCTGCCAATCTGATGGGTTAAATGAGCAAACTCCGATAACTGCAATATCTAACAATGCAGCCTGAATGCCAGCATGCGCACCATTCAAGAGACTTGCTTCTTCCATTATTTCCCTCTTAGATCTGTGGGTTCAGGAAAGTGACAGGCAAATGTTGAAGTTGAAAGGGAGCATGACGGAGTTCATAGCTTGGGATGGGCACAAAAACATTGCTGCAAGTACCAGGTAGTAGTTGTGGGAGATCCATAAATATCAGCGACTTGAGGGGAAAAGCGCGTGTTGGGCCGATGCTTTCAGAAATGCCTCTTTGTTTAGAGAGAACAACACAGGATTTAAACACCGCTGGTTTCTGAAAAGCTGCCCAGTTTCACGGTGTAGACTCACATCGGTTAAAACTCAAAGATGGCTGAAAGGGCGCAATGGTGAACGTGTTCCTATGCAATATGTATTTGCACACAGTGTATTAAGGACAGCCTTCCCTGCGACTTATCCCTTCCCCTCTACACAACTTGTTTTTGATTACTGTATCTCCATTTGTTGTCGTTCTTATTTTCTCTTTGATTTCCTTCACAGTGCCCTCTCCGCTTCATTATTGGACTGCAGAATGCCATTCACAGGACACCGTGTAAACAACGGTGCTGAACAGCATCTGCTGCATGTTTCAGGGTACACAAAACCTAAATCCAGGGACTAATTATTTTGAACAAAAATTTATACATGGCTGTAATACCCTAAAATACCCAGACCATATATTAAAAATTTTTGAAGTCCAAAGATTTAGTCTCCTAGGATTACTTAGCAAGGATATAAATGGGAAGAGACAGATTTGTTTTTCTTTATAGCATTTGTTCTCCCAGTCAAGCTCTGATCTGATGCAGTCTTTGTTTTCCAGTCAGGCCTTTTATCTCGTATTTTTTCAAATACAGCTGGGGAGCTGGCACACAGAGAGAACACGTGAATTGCCTGAGGTGAATGGTGCCTGACAGGATTGAACTCACCATCGTCCTGGCTCCTGGGCTACAGAGGTCACTGAAGCCATGGTGCAACGCAAAACTGCAAAATACAATTTCTGATCAGTATTTACACAGAGAAGAAACTTGAGCAGATCTTAGCTAACGAGTCACATTTCAGAGACTGGTAAGCACTTAGCTCTATTTCAAGTGGACAAACCAAAACTGAGAGCCAAGTTCTTCCTTCCCAAACCGTGCTTAAACAAGACACTGGGATTAAGATGCAAGTCCATTTTTGAAAGAGGATTTTACTCTGAATGGGATGGTTGAAGAGGCCAATTTCTAAATCTGTTGATTTAAAGATGTCCTCGTGTCAATGCATCTTTTAAGAACTTTCTGTCATTCACTAGTCATGTCTGTACCTGGAAAAAGAGCAGGTGAGATACCTTCCCAACCACTCACTCACACCATACCTCCTTGTCTGGCAAAGAGAATGGAAATTCTCCCCTGGCAGCAGATGGCATCTGTCTCTGGCGAATCTCTCTTGCCCCTGTATCAAACTCACACCTGCGTTTTGAAGGGCTTGCCATGTGCTGGAACTTACCTACGCTGTTACTGCCTTCTTACTCTGCAGCCTTCTCCCCTCTTCCTGATGCTCCCAACACTTTGCAGCTTGAACCATAACCTCTAGCATTGCTTCCTACCCTCAAGCTCCTTCAAATCTATTCTTGGCAGGTGTCTGAGAGGTGGAGCTGGTCAGCGTTAATCAAAACTATAGTCAGTGCAAAAAACTGCCACTAACCCAAGCCATGAACTGGGACACGCATCCATATACCCTCTAGTATCTTCCTGTCCTGCCATCTGAGCTGCCATCCAAATCCAAGCTTGACATCCCTGCCAAGTGTTGCAAACTACCTAAGAGAAAAATACAGGGTCTAAGGGAGCATAGGAAACTGGGAGTTCAGCGCTGAAGGGAGCCAATGCTTCCCTTTCAGACCACAAAAGGCTTCCCATCC